CTGTTTTATGCAGTATTTACCAAACGTTTTTGCTTTCTGAGCAAATACCGCATAAATGGATAGTCGATTGACATTTTCATCAGTGTTTGCAATATTTGGGAAAAAATGTTTGAGATCGCTTAATCACTGTATGCGATCTGGTTTAGTGAACGGAGCGCAATGTCACCTATATTTCACATTGTACATTACTTACAATTATGTTCATCTGGATTAAAATGGTAATATTTAATTACTTTGCTGAAAATATCAATATGTCATCAATTGGTTAAACCTTAGACTTTTTTCTAAAGTTCAGCTTCAGCCAGTTACATTTTGATTAAAATAGGAAAGAATTAGAACCTCTGCCAGGTTTTTGATGATGTCTTTAGTCTTGTTGGGAAGATTTAATCCTAGTACTCATGATGAGCATATCGAATGAATGACCATCTGTTTTTTTTTTTGCATGCTAGTCTCATATCAAAAATGAATAGGTTACTAAAGTTACGAAAATTTTTGTAAGACAGAATACAACTTTGGAAGTGATGTAATGTATTGTATTGTAATGTATTCTTTTGTTTCCGAGAATTCACAATCTTATTTTTTTCGTACAAATAATATACTAATTACACGAAGATCGTTTGTTCCTTTATCTTACGAGAAAATTTTCGTGCTTGTCCCTTTGGATATTTTCCCATGAACTGTTGTGATTGGCTCTTGAAAGTTGTGTACTAACGATTAGATTATCTGACGATCGCTCTGAAAGCTGTTTTTTTTTTGTCTGATTTTCTCATCGTGTATATTAGACATTGCTCTTACTTCCTATACCATTGACATCTTGAGGGGGGATTTCCTAAACTAAAACACACAGAATCTGGTGCAGCCCTGCATTGTATCAAATCAGCTTCCAGGTTTTACTGTCACAGCTTAATTGAACAAGCTGAAGTTAGAATCTGATTGGTTACTATGTACAGCTGCACCCAATTCTGTGTGCTCAAGCTTTAATAACCGCCAATTTATAATTATAAATCAGTTGCTGCACCTGCAGGGGTCTAATAAAGAAATTGGCAAGGTCTGCATCATTTTAGACTTGATTTCCCTTTGGGAGTATCTCACCAAAAACGACATTTTTGTTGCTGGGGATGCCAAAAATCTGACTTGTATCTCAGTGCAGACTTCTGCGAAAATCAGTAATCCAATCACACAAGCAGGAAATTACATTTTCAGGGGGCGTACTGTACACCATCTGTGCACAGAACACATCCAGGTAGCATTGCATTTTACAGAAAATTACACTACTGCAGATTGAAAAGTAAAGGTCACGTTAAATAACATTCAGTTGCAATATGACTTGAGTCGCAATTGTATATGCTATATATTTTTTTATTATTTGCTATTTTTTTCCCTTGAAAGTGGAGTTACCCTTTAAATTTACATATGTCTGAACTACCCCACACCTCCTGCACTAAGAGGTCTGAGTCACTATTTAAGCATAGTGGCAGCAACAACAAATTGTTCAAATTACTGGTAGCCGACCAAAGGGCACAGACTAATATTGCATGCATTCAAATGCCCTCTGGAGAGCTGTCCTCAGACCTAGCGGTTATCAATGCTTAATTTTTGAAATATTATAGCCTCTGGTATGCATCTGTGCCCCCCCCCCCCCCCCCCACAGCACAGAGGCTCTAGAACCATTTGTCTCATTTCCTCTTATCCCTCTGCTGTTAAGGGAGAATAGGGCCTTATTGGATGCAGACATTTCTACAGAGGAGATTGACAAATAAATAAGGCCTTTCTCTCCTAATAAATCCCAGGACCAGATGAGTTCCCAGAGGAGTGTTGTATGGTTAGTACTGAACTCTTGGTCCCTGGGTTACACTCTTTGTATAAACACTGCTGCCAAAAACTTCTACTATCCCCACCTCTATGTTGGATTAAAACATAATACTATTACACAAATTGGGCAAAGTTCCAACAGGTCATATAAACCAATTGCACTTTTAAACATGGATTTAAAAATTCAAACCAAGGTGTTAGCCATCCATTTATCCCAAGATATTGCTTCATTGGTAAATATTGATATGGTGGATTTTATGCCCCAAAATGCTACAGACACAAATCTCCAGAGACTTTTATCCCATTTACAGATCTCTCAGGGAAACTGAGGAGCAAGGGCAATAGTTTCCCTAGATATTGAAATGGTCTTCGACTCCTTCAATTGAAAATTTCTGGGGCGTGTACTTTGTCATATGGAGTTTGGGCAGAAATGTTTACTTTGGATTGCTATACTTTTATGGCCGACCTAGAGCAACTTTACTCTCTCTCCATATTTCCAAATTTACAGGGACACTAGACAGTTTATTGCCTAGACACTTTATTGTCTTTTTTATTTGCCTTGATGATGGAGCATATTGCAATTGTACTTTGATCCTCAAATGAAGTGAAGGCCTTGGAGGTGGGCAGTATCTGGGAATGTTTAGACTTTTTTGAATGATCCGGGTCCCTAACTACAGGCGGTGCTTTGGATCCTTGGTGATTTTGCCTACAATTCTGGTCTGAAGGTCAACTGTCCTCTCAGATACTAGGAGAATAATGTGTGCAAACCTGAATCTCCCTTTACAATGGGTATCCAGAGTGACCTACTTAGGGGTACAAATTACAGGTAAGGTTTCCAACTACATGGCCCTGAAAATTGTATCCCTTCTTGAAATGTTAAAACAAAAATTTGAGACTTGGAAAAACTAACCTCTTAAACATTAAGATCCTACCAGTCTTTTTAAACTTGTGAGACATGCACTGACCTGGGTACCTTATTCCTATTTCAAAAAGATTATAGGGCTGTTTAGTTCCCTCCTTTGGCTGTAATTTCACCCTCAGATAGCGATCAGGGAATGAAAGGGGGTTGTGGGTTAGAGGGGCTTGGTGCTTCCTGACCTCTATAAGTGTTATTTGGCAGGGCAAATGGTCTTTGCTCATAGGTGCTTTGTCGGAGATGATGGTGACACTCCTACAGCATTGAAAGCTGCACTGGGGTCATATGATGGTCTAAAATGCCTCCTTTATGGGGGGGCCTCAGGGACCTCATGCCACCACTGGCTTAATGAAAACTGTAAGAGCTTGGGTCATGCCCACAAACCTTTATCTGAGATGGGGAATAGGGTATCACCCTTTTTGCCTTTGTGCCTAACCCTCAATATCCTCATTTAATGGTGATCCTTGATCCAGCACTCGAATATGTTATGTCCAAAGGTAAATGAATGGTGTTTGATCAGCTTAAAGACACATTTGTGTTTCCCAATTGGTACTTTTTTTAGGTACTTGCAATTATGTCATGCCTTTGTGTCACAGTTTAACTCATTCATTTTGGTGACTCAGCCCACACCAATAGAAAAGTTAGTGTTGATTCATTGGTGAAATCATTGTCTGAAGTGTACAAAGAATTGTTTCCAATCAGACCCCCTTTAATTGAGCATTGCAGGAAAAATGGTTGGCCAATGTACCTGATGTTACAGGGGGGTGATTGGGATGATATGTGGGGCTACCCATTTCAACATATTTTGTGAGAGATCACCTGATCCAGTAAAAATTATTATTCCCCTGTCAAATTAGTGTCAATTTACCAGTCCCTTACAGCAGAATGCTAGGGATGTACTTTCTCCCCATCCAATTTCTCTCATGTCTTTTGGCATTGTCCCTTTATCCAACAATATTGAAAAGAAGTCACCCATGTTATAATGAAGCTCTGCCAGTTCCGTTGATCAACCCAGTTTGTTTGCTGGGTCTGGTGAAGAGGCTTGCCGTCATGGTAGCCCATAGAACTTTATTGAGCATACTAATGTTTTTTGCCCAGAAAGCTATCAGTCCTGTTACATTGGAAGAAATCCATAGCTTCCGCGTTACAGTTTTGGAAAGAACTTGTAATTGCCTTATTACCATTCTATAAAGCCACATATTTGAATCGGGGCTGTCCATAAAATTTTAAAAAGTCTGGGGTAGTTGGATATCTACATCTGAGACAAATGGTTAGTCCCACTTTTTGTACCATATCTGTTTGAGTGTAGAGCCTGGTTGAGTAGTGCTATGTGATTTGGAGGGACCAATACTTGTCTCTGTTCCTCTGACAAGTAACAAGATATAACTCTGACTTTTGAAGGTTTCATGTTGCTATTAGGACCCTTTCACATGAGATGACTAATTGGGTCCACCTATCCATTTTTCAGGTGAACCCAATTGGACCCTTAATTGTCCTTTATGCATGTGCCCGTTTACACCAGCCTACATCCAACCTAATCTCCTAAAAATAGACAGATGGAGATCCGTTGCCCTTCTTTTTTAGCGAAGCAGAACAGATGGCAGTCGGGGGTAAATGGACAAGAGGTTCATTTAAATCCAACCGCCTATAGAAGAGAGAAGGCTGTGTCTGTATCTGCTCTGCATAAGCGGAGTGGACATGGACCAGCCATCCACTTGCTTATTGAGGTTCAGTAGACAGATCCCCCTCTGAGCAACTGGACTCATAGCAGTGTCTGCCCCATGTGGAAGGGGCCTTGCATAAATGGGAAATGTATTTTCTTGGCATTAAGAGAGTGATGTTATGGTGTTGTGAATATGTTTATCATTGTATGTTATGATGGTTGCTGGTACACACTACTTTAATTATGAGTGGGAATAATATTGCACAGAGAAGTGTGGGTGCAGAGTGGGTATTGTTTATGGCAGTTGGGTCCTAAATGACTCATGTTACTGTCAATTGGTTCCATTTTTCTATTTTTATTTGTATTCTTCTTTTTCATTCTTACATTGTAACATTTAATAAAAAAGAATTTTCAATGAAAAAAAAGAATAATGCTTAAGTTTACCAGCAAGGGAATACTCATAGTATTTGAATGGCTCGGTATACTATTCTAAAAATTCTAAGAACTTATAAAATGTTTTGGTTTTTTTTTCAGGTATTTCAATGCCTATTCCAGTGATTGGTCTTCAGGATGACTCCAGAGTGTTTGTGAATGGGAGCTGTGTATTAAATGATGAGAATTTTGTACTGCTTGGATCTTTTGTGGCATTTTTTTATCCCGCTGATCATCATGGTATTTACTTACTGCCTGACCATTCAGGTGCTTCAGAGACAAGCTACTGTGTTCATGTATGAGGAAGTTCCAAAGCAGAGAAAGAACAGCTTAAGTGGTCTAAAGAAAGACAACAACACCGAAAACATTTCAATGATTCAAAATCATGAGGCTACTTCTCACATGAACTCTCCAGTGAATAAAGAGGGAGCTCTGTTTCGAAAGGGGACTATGCAGTCAATTAACAATGAGCGCAGAGCTTCCAAAGTCCTTGGAATAGTATTCTTCTTGTTTCTTATCATGTGGTGTCCATTCTTTATCACAAACATCATGTCTGTACTTTGCAAAGAGGCCTGTGATAAGGACCTCATGGTGGAACTCTTGAATGTATTTGTTTGGGTTGGTTATGTGTCCTCAGGAATCAACCCACTAGTCTACACACTTTTCAACCGAACATATCGAAGAGCTTTTTCCAACTACATCCGTTGTCAGTATCACAGTAGCAGAAAGACGATGCTGCAACAAAACCAGTGTCATCATAACCCAGCATCAACTGCCATGTATGGCAAGGACCTTAATTTAAATCATTATAGAAATGGTAATGAACTAACTAGCATGGACTTAGATGAGACAGAGGAGGCTATTGAAATGCAGCCTGGGACTTCTGAATTATCGTTAAACAGTTCTAATATTGTAAGTGAACGAGTTAGCTGTGTTTAAAAAAAAAAAATGGTCCAATGGACTTTCACTACTTAGGTCAGTTTCAAATATTTGTGTAAAAGAAATGTATGTCATGTCAGACAATAATGTAAATATTTGTTAATTATTGGAGGCCATTTTTTAATCACCCTCTGCAGTCTAGTGCTTCAGTCCAATTATTTATGTCAAGGTAAATTCCCATTATTTTAGGCAACATAACTGTTATTTTGGTTCCAAGGCTGGCAGAATATGATGGCTTTATATAACATGCATGAACAAAAATTTTGCTCTAAATATGTCATTGGATGACATGTAAAACATAATAAATTTGCTGCACATGCAAATATTGATGCATTAAAAAGTACATATATTTTATAATGCTACCAATGTTCACAATTTGTTTCCTTAACTTCTCCTTTTGTTTCATGATTTGGCAAAACATTACTACATAAAAAGCATCAAATCAGCAATTAAAGTGTATGTATAGCCATTTTTTTTTACTGTTTTGAATAACATGGGGAAAGGTTAAATCTCAAGTCAGGTTATTTTTTTCTGTCTGTGTATTGAGGAAGAGATTTCCCTTCACATCCTGTCCCATAGATACAACATTAAGTGAGAGGTAATCTCTGTAAGGTAACAGGAATTACCCTTTTGGATATTTGTCACCCGAACAGGTGTCCCCACTGTAAGATTTTCCCCTCACCTCATGTTTTGGTGACAACTCTAACATTTCAAATTTACCATTACCTCCTGTCTGGATGACACTGTCACAAGGCCAAATAGAGAGGGTGAATCTCCCCAGTAAGGACTCAGGCAGAAAAAAAAGGAAAAAATGGAAGTGGTTTTAAACTCACATTGTGCTATCCAAAACTAAGGAAGAAATACGTTTTGGCTATACAGTCTTTGAAGGTTCTCATTTATCCAGGCCATGGTATAGCTATTAATAGTAAGCCTGGGTTCACACTTGTGTGGTGTGGGACAAAGTATGTGATTTGGATAGGAAATACACTGCATTCCTATTCAAATCACAATTCTTTGCAGTGCCATTCAAGCCCATTCATTTTGTATGAGCTCAAATCGCATTGCACACGCACAAAAAAGGTGCAGGCATCTGGGTTCTTTGCCGCAACAGAAACAGATCGCATGGGTGTTCACACCCATGTGATCCGATTCAGGCAATTTGCACAGTGTTTTGCGACATGTTTTGGGGTTTAGTTAATTTAACATTGACACCCCCAGCAGATCCCATGAACGTGGTGCAATTTCAATGCAGTGTTGGCAAGGCACAGGATTCACTGCACTTCCTGCACTGCATATATGTGAACTGAGGCATGCTCATCTGGACATGAACCATTACAGAACAAGTCTAGTCGAATGTGACTAACTACTACTAGCTAGCAAATTAACTTAAGTAAACTTGATTACCATCTAATCACAATATAGTGTGAATATAAAACAAACCCCAATAACTTAAAATAATCACCCAGAAGTAGTAAATAATTAAAATAAAACAATGGAAAGAAAAAAAAAATAAATAAATAAATAAATAAATAAATAAAATATAAAAATCACAATCCAAAACCCCCAAAAAAACAAAAAAAACACAAAAAGAGTCCACAAAAAAGGAGTCCCAAAAAATCTTTGTCTGTGATATCTTAATTCTTCATATCTTCCGACATTCTTCTTAGTGATATACTTTAAACCCGATCTTCATATACCTCAAGAAAGAAAAACTCAACATGTGTGATATCTTCAAAAACAGAATTATCTAAACAACTGTGCCACACGTGTTTCATGCACATAAAAATAACTGTGCCACCATAACCGTGAAAAAACGGGGATAGCCCTCAGCCTTAGGAGTCAATCCACTGCATACCACCAACGAGAGTTCATAGTTACCCTCACAATGATATCAAGGGTCTGAGTATTGCCTTCCACTTTAAGGATATTCTTTCAGCCTTTCCAGCCACTTCCCACAGACCTCAATAACAGACCATGGATCAGTATATGTAAAAAATACTTATAACAGGGATCCCTGTTGAAAAAGTCGGATGTGACGAAACGCGTCCGGGGCACGTGACGTGGTGACGTAGGACGCTCTTCCGGAAGTGCGGCGACGGCCATCTTTGATCCTGGTACATGCGGATGTGTTTACTGCAATCCTCATGGGGTTTTGAGGGACTGGGAACCCACGGCAATCACTCCTCCCTCGGTGAGATAGTGTGGCAATCTATACACTGGCGATGAGAGGAAGGATTGGGAACATATCGTTTGTGAAGCTGATGTTATCTTACTTGAATGTAAGTTGCTACAATAAAGTGTTATAAGTATTTTTTACATATACTGATCCATGGTCTGTTATTGAGGTCTGTGGGAAGTGGCTGGAAAGGCTGAAAGAATATCCTTAAAGTGGAAGGCAATACTCAGACCCTTGATATCATTGTGAGGGTAAGTATGAACTCTCGTTGGTGGTATGCAGTGGATTGACTCCTAAGGCTGAGGGCTATCCCCGTTTTTTCACGGTTATGGTGGCACAGTTATTTTTATGTGCATGAAACACGTGTGGCACAGTTGTTTAGATAATTCTGTTTTTGAAGATATCACACATGTTGAGTTTTTCTTTCTTGAGGTATATGAAGATCGGGTTTAAAGTATATCACTAAGAATGTCGGAAGATATGAAGAATTAAGATATCACAGACAAAGATTTTTTGGGACTCCTTTTTTGTGGACTCTTTTTATGTTTTTTTTTTGTTTTTTTGGGGGTTTTGGATTGTGATTTTTATATTTTTTATTTATTTATTTATTTATTTATTTATTTTTTTTTCTTTCCATTGTTTTATTTTAATTATTTACTACTTCTGGGTGATTATTTTAAGTTATTGGGGTTTGTTTTATATTCACACTATATTGTGATTAGATGGTAATCAAGTTTACTTAATTTATGACTGTTTGTACTTCAGGGGAAGGATTGTGGTAGTAACTTGATGGGAATTTATTTATTTTGAGAAAGGATAGTGCTATTCCTTCTATATTAGCAAATTAACTTACTGTTTTATGTACAGCATACAGCTGTTAACTATTCTAGAGCAGGTAGCATAAAATATAATGATATCAGAGTCACAAAGATTTCTGTGAGGCCATGTTTATACACCTATACATCACATTTGTATTTTTTTTAATCTTGCAAAATACAATGTTTCAAGAGTCAACCCCTCCAAAACTGACAGATTGGATTTTTGAAAACTTAAATAATTTGAAATTCCCACCAGGACCACATAATTCCAAAGCTAGGTACACACAGATCGAAATTCAAACAGTTCAGCAGGGACTGGCTGAATGGCGTTCTGCGTGTGGCTTTCTTTCGCCAACAGAAGTCAATCCACTTCTGTTGAATAGGACTGCTGGAAAATGTTCATTAGACCAGTCACTGCACCCAGTGTATTCCTGAGAGTGGAGGAGTTCCAAATGTATAGAAAGCCTAGGTGTTATGGTGCATAAACAACCTATATATACATATTTATAATATATCAAACCACACTGGGAAATATTCACATTGTTATACCAAGTGTTTAAAAAAACTTGAAAATAAAATGCATAGCCAACATATAATTTAATATATTGACCAAATAAAATTGCCAGAGGTTAAATAAAGTCCACACGTGAAATTCATTGCTCACAAGTGTTCTTGAATCTACATAGAAATTCGTCACCCTTGAAGCCAAAAGGGCAGTAATGTAAAGACCACCACCTCAATAGTAAAGTTACACACTTACCAACTAGAAAATACCTTCTATTTAAAGAGAGGTCACAAGTGCTCATGGATCCCACTTCCAATGTAGTGCCCCGGACGACATCATGTATGACGAAGGCAGAGCTGTGTGCTGACGTCATCGAGTTTCCACATTCCCGGAAGTGTGGATGTGTTGTGAGTTTTGCTGGCTACAAGAATTCTATGTTATTATTATTATTATTATTGTGCAGTATTTATATAGCGCCAAAGGGTATGCTCAGCGCTGTACAGCAAGGGGGACAGAGCATGAGACAAGACAGTAACAATACACTACACGAGGGGTTCGAGGGCCCTGCTCTTTCGAGCTTACAATCTAGGAGGGAGGGAAAGGTGGTACAGGAGGAGATGGCTGTGGGGGATGGAGTGGTGGGAGGAGTGGAGGAGGTCAGTTGTTAGGTAGAGGTCGGGTGTTAGGTGAGGTTGGGGTAGGCTTCCCTGAAGAGGAGGGTTTTCAGGGTGCGCCTGAAGGTGAGGAGGGTAGGTGACAGTCTGATGGATTGGGGTAGGGAGTTCCAGAGGATGGGGGAAGTCCTGGAGAAGTCCTGCAATCGGGCGTGTGCAGTTTTAATTGGAATATTATAAGTGTGATTCTATATTTTGATAAAAGTTGTTAGAAGTTTTTACACTATGGGAGTGCTTTGTCCCTATGTTTCTATATGACCGTGGAAGAAATGTAGATGCATGAAATGTCATCTTAAAGATACTGGTTCCCCCGGGAGTATAACCTTAGCGGTGTGGCGGCCTCCATTGGAGCTGAGATCCATGAGCCCTTATGAACTTTCTTTACATAGAAGGTAATTTCTAGTTGGTAAGCGTGTAACTATACTATTGGAGTGGCAGTCTTCACATCACTAACCTTTTGGCTTCAAGGGGGACAGCTTTCTATGTAGATTCAAGAACACTTGGAAGCAGTGAGCTTCACATGCATGGACTTTATTTAACCTCTGACAATTTTATTTAATCAATATATTAAAACATTATGTTTTCTATGCACTTTATTTTTAAGTTTGTTTAAACACTTGGTATAACAATGTGATTATTTCCCAGTGTGGTTTGATATATTATAAATACTGTATGTATACATAGATTGTTTATGCACCATAACACCTAGGCTTTCTTTACACTTGGCAGGAGTTTTGAATAATTTATAGTGCAGCTTGATGCATTATTATCAGCAGTATACTGTGATAAATATCTCATAGTGGAGCTTGCTGCTAATTGGTTGATTT